TGAAATTAACAAATAATGTGGTATCATCTGCGAATTGTGTTATCTTTACTTTACTTTACTTATCTTTACTTACCCTGAACTTCTATATCTTTGGTTGTAATATTTATCCCTCTTATTTTATTGTTTTCTCGAATTTTATTTGCTAATATTTCTGCCACTAATATAAATAACAAAGCTGATACTAGGCAGCCTTGACGAACGCCCTTTTGAATATAAAATGTTTCAGATAGCGACCCATGCTGTAACACCCTACCATGGACATTTGTGTATAAAGCTTTAATCCATCCTATAAAGGAAACCTGAAAATGCATACGTTTCAATGTTTCAATAAGAAATGAGTGATTTACATTATCAAACGCCTTTTTGAAATCTAAAAATAAAATGATACCGTTAATATTTGCTAATTTACAATAATCAATAACATCTTGTACAAGTCTCATGTTTTCACTTGCCATTCTACCTTTTACAAAACCTCTTTGATCGGCCGAAATTATACCTGGCATATTTGGTTGTAGCCGTATTGACAAGACACGTGCTGCAATTTTATAGTCTATATTGAGGAGAGAAATCGGTCGCCAATTGCCCTTGTTTCCTTTTTTTATACGAAAGAGCAAGAATAGATTGACCTTGTGTGAACGAGAGCCCTTGCCTCTCATACCCTTCGTTTAAACTATTTATCACCATGTCCTTTATCTGTTCCCCAAAACATATATAAAATTCAACACTTAATAAGCAGGGCTCCCACTTAGCCGAGTTGGAGCCTCGAGTTGTGGCGAGCTGACTCGAGCTTGAACTCGCGTAAAGTCGCGTAAACTCGCTTGAAATTTACTCATTTGTATGGTATTTGCATGAATTATCATACGACGCATTATCGAGTTTCCTACGATGAATGTACGAGTGAACCGAGCTCATTACGAGTCACGCGAGCTCGGTGTGAGTTGCGATGACTTGCGTACGACTTGCACCGATCTATACAACTAACGAGTGATGAGAGTTTTCTACGAGTCATATACGATCAAGGGGCGGGAAATACATACTTTTGACCGGGGCGGCCAAGCGACTCCCAAAGTTGAGGGGGAGGGGGCACCAAGAAAAAAGGGCACCTTCAAAGGGAAATCTCAAAGCGAAAATATGTTTTAGACATTGGTATATACCCTTTAGTGATTACATTATCAGGGATGATTTCAATATTTGTTTCACTATGTACACAGTACAAGATATTGTTTAAGCATCATACTTTGCAGTTGAGTGTGATGGTCCTCAAATTTATTTGCGATCGAGCGAATGGAACAAGGACATTTTTAACAGATTTGTGAGGTCGCAGTACAAAAAAATTACATCTTATAAAGAGCAAAAAACCCAATCCTGATGGGGTTATATGCAAATTTTCATAACGGAAGACTGAGACCTTTGATAAGTAACATAAGTATATTATCATCTATAAATGCGAACGAGCGGAGCGAGCAAGCTTTAGGAGGAGGTGCTGTTAGTCGCTTGAAATTAGGGGCGCGTATGATGAGAGGAAAAGGGGACATATATCGGAAAAGAAAAGTAACTCGTGTCAAAGTACAAAGAGTAATTATCAGAGGTAAAAATGGGGCGCGTTTTACACCTTTAAAAAGAGGCACTCAACAGGGATGAAGAATAGGCACTCATGAAAATAGGAAATGTGCATCTGTCGACCGAAAAGGGGCTCCGATCGGATTGTGAAGGGGCATTTAGAAGAGGGGAAAAGGGGATAAGGCCCTTATTAGAAAAGAAATGGGGCACGTATCATTGTTAAAAGGGAAATTATCAGAGGTTAAAAAGGGCATGTTTCGCACCTGAAAAGGGACAATGACCAGATATCAAAAGGGGCACTTATGGAAATGAAAAAATGGGCACTTACAATACAAGAAAATCGCATTAGTTGAAAGAAAAGGGGTACCGACCAGATTTTAATAGGGGCATTTATCGGAAGTGAAGGTGGCACTTATCAGTGCTCTATGGAAGAACAGAGCCATTAGGTTAATGGACTATTTAACCGTTTTATCATTCTATTATAGTTACATAATTCTTTGATTGTGTTATATTGTATTATTGTGTTTATGATGATTTCAGGAAATAAAACAAACAAAACTTATCTGAAGGGAAAAGGAGTAACTTCTCGTACCTGAAAAGGGTCATTTACCAGAGATGAAAAGGGGCATTTATGAGAAGGAGAAAGGGCTATATTTTAATAGGGGTACTTATCGTTGGGAAGAGGGGTACTTATTAGAAAAAGGAAAAGGGGCACTTGTCAAAGTAAAAGAGACACCTCTAAAATCTAAAATAGGGCAAATTATCAGAGGTAAAGGGGGCGCTTATAGAAAGTGAAAAGGGGCACTTCTTGTTCCTAAAAAGGGGCAATTATGATAATTGAAAATGGACACTTATTGCAAATGAAAATAGGTACTTTTCGAAGGAAAAGGGGCACTTGTCAAATAAAAGGAGTACTCATGCCAAGATGGGGGCAATATGCATAGGATATTTAATTTGATAACATGGTCTAACTTGAGATATGTGAATGAAAAGTGGCATCTGTCAAAGGATTGCCACAATTGTAGTTTTTTATATCATTTTTCTAAGCACAAATACAAAAAACTTGCAATATCAAACGTCAACAATGTTATGACAAAAATATTTTTATTTCTATGTTATATTCGTATATTGTCTTAATGACTCTTTAAAAGTACATGTATGCAATTCGTATTATTATTGTTCATTTACTATAACATCTTCCCATCTTACTTCTATTCTTCTTGTTTCTCCTCTTCGTGTTCTAATTTGTGCTGCCCAAGCAATCTTACCATATAACCTAAACATATTTCAATATTGACAAACTAATTGTAACTGTATTTTATGTTTGAAATATGTAATAAGTTTTTTAATTGGACACATGCCCATTTCAGCAATGGGGCTGCGGCTCATGTTTTTAATAAACCTTGAATTGAATTGAATCGAAATGAAATTGTAAGAGGTAAAAAGGGGAAGGGGCACATTTAAAAATGAATAGGGGCACTTGCCCCTTTTACTATGTAAAAAGGGGCTCTCTTTATAAAGTTAAAAGGGCAATTTTCTTATGAAAAAAAGGGGCACATTTCGAGTACTTGAAAAAGTAGGGGCACTGCCCCCCTCCTGCCAACCGGGGAGGGCCGTATCTGATTTTGGCGCTCTCCAAAACAAAGATGGATGCCAGAAGCATATTTGCTAGATGTGCTGGAGGAAGAACATGCCTTGAACTTCTGCACAACGGTAGGCCAGCTGACATATCATGGTGAGCTTTTCATGCTCGTAAGGCTCGCCCTACACTCTGCTCATGCTCATGCTCATACGAAACTCACCGTAAGTCCCCGTACTCGATCTAAACTCGCGTAAATCTCGTGGGCAATTCGACATGACTTGCAGCACGATCGTCGTGCTCGTACTCCACTCTTGGAAACTCGAATAGCACTCGCGTATACTTGAAGGTGGCGAGTTGATACGAGTTATGAAGAATGCAGTGCGAGCTTGTTACGAGCAATGCGAGTATATTGCGAGTGTAAGCGATTTCATCTCGAGTAACAACGAGTCAGTAATTTTTTTTGAACATGTTCAAAATTTTGAACTGCTCGCGACTTCGAGGAGAGTCGTGGAATGTTGTAGAGAGTTATGTCGAGCCATAACGAGTTGTCGCGAGTTACAAGAAGAGCTTTTCGCGAGTTATTGCGGCAACTTACCACAATTCGCCATAATTCGTCATAACTCGCTAATACAACTCGGCTAAGTGGGAGCCCTGCTTTAGACCGTCACTCCTAGGTGACTTATTTAAATTCATAGTAGACAATGCTTTCCAGCATTCCGTCTCTTTTAACAGACCTTCACAGCTCGGCTACCTCTTCTGTCAAACACGCCATGTTTACATTTCTGAAATAATCATCATAATTTGCTCCACTTTCTTCTGTCTTACTATACATCATCTTATAAAACTGTTGAATCTACTTTAAAATATCTTCACTGTTCACAATTATGTTACCATATTTCTCTATATAATATAAATATTTCTTTTTTCCTCTTTGTTTTTCAAGCTGTAAAAAGCACTTTGTACATTTTTCACCTGAGTGGTAAGCGGCAAATGTAGATTGATGTCATTAGAGCCGCGGTGGACTCAAACCGCGAACCATGTGATACACATTCCGTTGACATATCCGCTAGACCACTTCTCCTCTATAAAACAACTGTTTTATAGAGGCAGCTATGAGGCAGCTATTAACAAATGTCATATTGTAACCATGATGTTCCATGCACATCAGCATTTCATGCTAACGATTTATGCCAGGTTGCGTAATTTTGGGGAAAATATTTTAAGGCCATATTGCACTGTGTAAATTATTACCACCCAACTGTCGACTATCAGTGGATTTTGAAAAAGACGTTGCGATAGGATCAGATATGGATATTTCAAAATGTAAATTGTAATTGATTGGCTTCATAAATGGTCATGTGAACATTGACATCACATGGTATTTGAAGTCTTCCAGTGAGAGAAAAGGGCGACAACAGTTGAAGGCCAGTCATGCCACTGATTCACTATGATTCACAACCCACCGACTTTTTTTTCCAACTTGAAGGCCCACTGTACATTCAACATTGCTATTGTCATGGATACTTCGCAACTCAATCAAAAGGAAGTGACATTCTTTTACCTGTCACAGTTACTGTGTAATTCTAGTTCACTTTCTTTCTATTCCAACTGTAATCTATCCAACAGGTGTGCGATGATTATGAGTATATAATACGTGTATAATATACTCCATAATTTTAGAGGTCCTCGTCTAAGCCTCTGTGCAATTTATGGGAGGAAGAAAATTCTGACATGATTTTCAAGCTTTAACAATTTCAAATTAATCATGTACCAGAGAAACATTTTTTATCTTTAAATTTCATATAGTAATTGTTAAGCGGAAACTTAATAATTTCTTTATATAATTATCTTGATACAGAGGTCAACTCATTAAGTGCTGCGATCAAAGTCAGTGGGGTAGTATATACAAATGCATTGGGCGACACTTCTTCATCTGAATTCATGGCAGCCGCTGGACTGTGGGGGGAAAAGGTGAGCAACTTACCTATTTTTTTATTATCCAACCTTTCATATCAATGAACCAATCTATTTATTTATTTATCTATTTATCTATTATTATTACTATCATTATCAAGTACTCAGCATCACCTAGCTGGAAGGTGAAAAGGTGATCTTAGCTTAGTCACTATAACCCTCTGGTCTCTCCTCCCAGTATAACTGATTGGGGTGTGCAGATGGACCCCTAAACAGGGTACGTTCCCCTTACTCTTATACGAATAGCAACGAATCTCCTTTACACAGAGCCTCCATTTAAATCTCCTCTGCACTAGTTTGGCAAGGGGTGCTTAGAGGAATTAGGGTGGTCACTGACAGGTGGTTATCTGATCAACTCAGCTCTCAATTAAGACAAGAAAAAGAGCATCATGGGGGACCAACAGGCACCACTTAGGCATTATTTTGTATATAAAGGGAACAAGTAGCTACAAGTAGTACAATGGGGCTTTAACGGAGTGTTTTCCACTGTAACATAGAACTATGAAAATGTAACTATGAAACAGGGGAGGGGCGCGTCAACATACAACGAAGGCTTCAGTTATCTGCCTAGGTTGGATCAGAAGATGCTTGTTACAGGTGGTAAACAAATGTTTTAAAGCTATTGGGCTTCAAATGACTGAAACTGTTATACAGTCTCATGATTTTTGTATTTAAAAAAAAACGAACATGTTTTTACAATTGCAATTGCCCTTTCAACCGATAGGATAGTGTCCTCCAATTAAATCGCATATTAACATGCATTTCAAATTCCCTAACTTACAAACGATAATCAACATGTTTTACCATGGAGTTCGTATAACTCCTTGGTTTTACACGGTTCATCCTGGTCGTGGTTCACATTAATTTTTGTTCATGCGATAACTATTTATTTCTACAGAAATCAATTCATCCGCTTGTTTCATATGAACAATACAAAATTTAAATGTTGGAGAAAAGATTGATATACAGTGCGTCCCAGAAAAAACGAAACCGAGAAGTATCGATGTTTTATCATAACTTAATTACAACCATATTTAATGAATGATACATATTTGGAAAGCTTAGAGTCTCCCCTTTTAGTTGATGCTGCTCACGTGATGCATATTTTACGCATGAGTGATTAACAGCAATTGGAAGGAAGGAAACCGAAAAGTAATTTGGCGGGCGGTATCTGAATTTCAAAGAAAAATTCATATTTCCAGAAAGTTCATTTCTGCTCTTTCATATGATACATCAATCAAGAAAAATGAGCCAGGAATAACAAAGTTCCGTTTGTTTAAAGTAGCCCTTACATTTTCATAATTTTAACAAACAAATTCGTTTTCACTGGGTGCCTGCTGTAGCAAAAAGCAGATTTGACAAAAGACTTAACTCCGTTTCGTTGACAATCAGCCGTAGACAAGAGTCTTCATGCATGGCTGCTTGTCAACGAAACGGAGTTAAGTCTTTTGTTAATTTCGTTTATTAATACGACAGGCAGCCAGTGAAAACGAATTCGTTTATGGAAATGCAAGCACTAATCTAAATAAACAGAACTTTGTCATTCCTCGCTCATTTTTCCTGATTGAGGTGTCATATGCAAGGGCAGAAACTCGACTTGCTAGAAATGTGAATTTTTCTTCGAAATTCAGATACGGCCCGCCAAATGTCTTGTTTGTTTCCTTCCTTCAAATTGCTTTTAATCACTCATGCTTGAAATATGCATTATCTCAACTGAAAGAAGAGACACTAAGCTTTCCAAATATGTATCATTCATTAATTATAGTTTTGATTAAGTTATGATAGAACATCGATACTTCTCGGTTTCGTTTTTTCTGGGACGCACTGTATACGTTCTAATATAACCGGTGTAAGATTAAAAAAAATCACTTGACTGTCTCAGCAAGTCATTTCCGTAGTATATTGTACATGTACTATGGAAGCAGTCTATAAAGATGCATTTATGTGTGTACACCGTCTGATATTATCTATGTGCACAAGAAATCACCATCATATACCATCATCATTTATGTGAACTAGATGTACCTCAAAATTCGCTATAGGGTGCATTCTATCATTAAATTATTTCCTGCTCACTCACAGATCGCTGACGGTTACTGCAATGCTACAGCCGATTCAAGGAACGGCACTGCTTGTCAAATCACAGTGAATGTAACATCGTTCTCCAATGGTTCTCTAGTAGTTAATTTCAATGCTGAGTTTGACAGCTCTGTGGTTTCCACTCTGAATGCATCTAATATCCAAATCTTGAACGAAAATGGAATTCCCTACGGTACAACGGTTTCTGGCATAACTCGTGAGTAATCACACACACATAGTGTTTTTATATCATATAAATGCGCTCGACACTATAGATATATAAGCTACCACAATGTGGTGGAGTGCATTGGTAAAGAAGATCTCAATAAAAGCATAGGCCAGACAAGTTAAACTACGCGGGCCGATAAAACAGATTTACAGCATAATCCTAGCGCGCTATATATATATATTTCCTACAAAACATTAAGATTTTTCTGTCACATTTTGATTAAACAATTTTATTTATTAATATTTCCATATTCCCTACGCACAATTTCATAACATGCATAGTATAATATGGGGATGGTTAAGCGGTGTGATAAGTACTGAAACGGTGAAACATAGATATATATCAGCAGGGGGTGTCGATTTGTATCCGTGGGGGGGGGGGGGGGGGGGGGTGAAAGGGGCCAAAATATTTTCGGCAATGGATCAAAGCAACCAAGAGGTAGAATCGTGTGGCAGGTTGCACCCCTCCCTTCCAAGTTATTAACTTTTTCAAGTCACCCTCAATAAAGATAACATTTCAAAGAATATGGGACCCATGTGGGGGCCACATGAGCTTGCTACCTGGGTTATTATCCTCTCACGCGCGTAATTACCGGGATTTTATTTTAGGGGGTGGTAGTGAGCTCTGACAATTCATTAAATTATTAAAGAAAGAAGACGATTCGTTGTACCATTCTCGACTCTTAATCCTTGTCTGAATTCAGTTCCCCCCCCCCCCCCCGCGCGAAGCGCGGAAGCTCTGATGTTTCATTAAATTATGAGAGAAAGAAGACGATTCGTTGTACCGTTCTCGGCTATTAATCCTTGTTTGAATCAAGTTCCCCTTTCTCCGCGCGTAGCGCGGAAGCTCTGACGTTTCATAAAATTATTGAAGAAAGAAAACGATTTGTTGTACCATTCTCGACTCTTAATCCTTGTCTGAATTCAGTTCCCCCCCCCCTCCCGCGCGAAGCTCTGACGTTTCATTAAATTATGAGAGAAAGAAGACGATTCGTTGTACCGTTCTCGACTATTAATCCTTGTTTGAATCAAGTTCCCCTTCCTCCGCGCGAAGCGCGGAAGCTTTGATGTTTCATTGAATTATTAGAGAAAGAAGACAAAAGACGAGTATAATAACCATTACATGTACTCTCATCGGGCTCTCATCATTATTTTTTTTGTTTTTTGTGATGGTGAATTATTGGGGGGGATGATTGTACAGGCCACCCCCCCACCTGAAATATTGGGGGGATATACCCCCCCCCCATCCCCCCCGGGATCGACACCCATGTATATCAGAGCTAGGTTTCAATCCAGCCAGCCTGGTTGTATTGGGTATAACCATGGACCTATTACGAATGGACATTCATCGTTTTCTGAACGAATTCATTGTGATTGTCTCCGTCAATGTCGTCTCAATAAAATTCCGTACATGTTTCTTCAATTTGATCTCATGATGGTCACCGCCAATAAGCCGGGACATAATCAAGATAGTGATTTTAAACATGTTAATATACATGCGCAGAAGATAATAAATTGCTTAAATCATGGGAAATCGATGTGAAGTTCTGTTTAATAATTGGAAATTGTTGTTCCGTACTGTGTTCTATTTTTGAAAAAACATGTTGATATTACCAGAAAGGTTTTGTTTGTGATTTAAAATCCCGTTTTCCTCAATTTCCTCATAATATTCCAGAATTACAACGCACGGGTTTATAAAGATCATGGCCTTCTAATTGTTTCATAAGGTCATTGGTGCGTGCAAAAGTGTGCAAATCTGTAATAATAAATTTCATATCACCAAAATCGTCTGCTTTTCAACTTTGCTGCTCCCCATTGGGGATGTTTTTTCTTACAGAGCACAACATCCAAACAAAACCCAAGAGAGGGAAACTGCTCATTTGTCAATGCCCGAAAATGCTTACGCAGTCGTTATTGTTAAAACAGCTGAATGTTCTCGTTTTAAGATGCACATAATCAGGAGGCGGTGACTATCATTGGATCAAAGAAAGAATCACGTTGAATGTCCATCCGTAATAGGTCCATGGTATAACAGAGTACCACACAACAGTGTACATTATCTATGTGTGTGTAACATGGAGGCAATGTATAAGTTCACATACTACACATATTATTTTGAGCAGCATGTCCAAATATATGAAAAGATAATTGTGAGAAATTAAATACACACGCTGAATGCATGATAAACATAAATTAGACGCAGCTAGGCTTCTTGTATCCATTGACCATCTTCCTTACTGCGCCTGATCAGTGGGCAGCAAACCCCACGTTTAAATTGAAACATTTCGAACGGTAGCTCCTGTGGAAATGTGACACAAATAGGGAAAAAAGAAGGGGGATATTTTACCTACGACCTTTTTACTTTTTATCCATAATCAGATTATCCTCCTATAATGATACATATTATCATCAAGTTCAAAGTTCAACTCCAACGACAACTCCAAAAACATAATGCATCCGCCCACATCTCCGATGGCGAAGGAATAAACAAGAGATACAGACAGAATACGTACAAACATGTGGATATTATTACGGATATGAAATTTAACAATAGGGTATTGAATTAAAGTATTAAAGTATTGAATGCAATTAAAAGTGTAATTCGAATCACTTCGAATTTGAATAAACTCCAAGAAACTGAATGACAATCACTTTTGTGTACAGCTATTGTCAAGTGTGTGGAAACCTTTTGAAAATATGTGCCCCTAAAAGTATTGTGCCCCTAAAAGTATGTTCAAAATTGACGTTTTAGAAGACTGAAATCAAACATGTAAAACATCATACGATTTTATTGGTTAGTAAATTGATTTATCATTTTTTTTTTAAATTTCCCAGTTACCTGCGATGGGGTGACGTGTGTAGACTGTACAGTATGCAGCGAAGGTAAAATGTTCTATTTGAAAGTAGCTTGTATTATAGCCAGTAATTATGCTCGTTCTGGATAAGTTATGCTATGGTCTCATCTTGCCACGCGCTTTTTGGCACATATACATGTGATTGTCAAAGTACGTGTTGGACATACATGCCCATCGTACAAGCCTCTCGCTTCCACCTTGTGTGCCCGTAAGAACCCCCCCCCCCCCAAAAAAAAAAAAAAAAAAAAAAAAAAAAAAACGTGCGGAACACTGTGTCTGAAGAAGCGATTTTTCTGTGGAATCCATCATAAAGGGAAGCAGGGATGTCCACTGCCAGCTGTGACCATAATCTATAAATTATTTAAGAATGCTAATAAATTACACCGAAAGTAAGAGTTTTATTTTAAAGCACAAATATCTAGAATTGTCAGTAAACATGAGGAATAACACTTACAAGATGAGATTGAGATTGAAAAGGTTTTATTGATTGCACTTCGCAGCCAGATGGCTGAATTATGAACAATTTACATTGGCAATGAATTATAATACATACAAATGTGGTTGACATTGTCACAAAGTATAATATACAGTATATAACAAAATTCATAAGAAAGTTCATAACTAATATGACTAAGGCAATAACAGGCAATGGATTAAAGGAAAACAAAACATTCCAAAGATCAGAACAAGTTTAACGTATTTATTTAATATTAATATATATTTTATAATCATATTTCTGGGATACTTTTAAAACATTCCCTCGCAAATTTGACATCTCACTAACCCCTCAAAACACTGCCCCTACTTTCCAAAGGATGATGGAAACGTTCAGCAGCTCCACCACTACCTCCTTCTGAATGACCTAGCAAGGTATGGAACATAATTATGTATTGCTAACATTTCATGTCTGTAGATCATATCAATAATGATACCTTATCCAACTTCCATCACTACAGCAACTACCCCGGCCACAAGAATGCAAGGGGTAAGTTAAGTGAAATCTTCTAATGCTTGATGGGGAGAGGCTTCTTCAATATTGTACACGTTTTTGTGGATATGTATAATGTCTTTACAAATTATAATGAGCTAAAATGTATAATTCTTTGTCAGGAAGATCTATAAGAGAGAGATTTCTTGAGAAAGAACCTTCTTCTTCGTGCTTAAGTTAATGACTTGTTGCCTATAGAATACATCTAATTGATATTCTGAACAAAAAACAGAAATTAATTGTTTAGAAAATATTTTTCAATTCTGCTGTTTACATTTTTGTTGTCACTAAACATAATTTAGTTTTAATATGGTTTTGGTTTACATTTGATAGGGAACATGGAAGGGGATATTTTTTGTGCAGTTTTAGTGTTACATGCTGTCCAAATATCCTGGAATCAGATAATAAGATAATCTATTCTTTTAGTACCTTTGAAAATAATTCCATGTGCATCTTAATTTTCCTTGCAGACTCTTCAATGTTATTCCTGTTTGACTAACTCCATAACGGATGTTTGCTCTACTGCTGATGACCTTGCAAGCGCTGATGAAGTACTAACTCCTACATGCTATGAAGGACAGCGTTGTTGGGTATGTAAAAACTTTGACATTTACATTTCTTCACAATGTTGATCTGGCATATGTATATAGTTTGGTTAATAAGTGAAAATACAAAGAGGATGTGTTGGGAAACACAAAACATGAATTTATACCAAATAATCATTAATCTAGAATTTTCACCTGATGTTATATTTTGTCTTAATTGTATATTTATTCCGTTTTCATATACTTGGGGTAAGTGATAGTTCGTCCCTCTGTTTTAGTTTATATCTTGTTTCGTTTGATTTTTCTCCTATTTCTCTTTTTGGTTAATAAAAGGAAACAGATATTTAAATACATTACAGAGCAAGAGACCAAACACAGGGGTACGTCCATCAAAAACAAACAAAAATCACCAAGTTAACTGGAAAGGGGAAAGAGCCGTGCGATATGTATTTTGAAAAAATCAAATGATGAAATGAAAATTCTACAATAACGTTTAAAAAATGAATACTGTCACAAACTCAACAAGGTACGAAAGATGAAGTTAGATAACCGTATAAAATAATAAAACTTCTTCTTTTCTTGCAGACTGATCATTATGAGAACTCATCACACACGGTTGTGTCGCGTGGGTGCACGGATAACCCATGCATTGCTACCTTGCATGGAGATGGACCTTACTGCACTTCGGCGAATGGTGTTACCAGTTGCACATCATGTTGTACTGAATCAAAATGCAACGACAACAAATCCAGCTCTGAGGGTCTCACTTCTAGCTGTGTGACATGGCTGACATCTCTTTTCTCAGTGGTCATCATGCTGATCACTTATAGAGACTAAATGAATTCAAATGTCAAAAGTTGTTCCCATATTGCCCTTTATTATAACAGGCAAAACTATTCCTACTCCATTCACAATCAAATTGCAAACATATTGTTTATTGACTTTTATAATTGATGAAAGACTAATGGTTCAACTAGGACATTTTGATTAATCATACAGACAATAATACACACATTTTTTAATAGCAGTTTGGAAGGTTTTTAAATATGATTTTTTAAATCCAAATACGGCAAGCACTTATTTCTCAAAACTTGTTTCTAAAGATAATAGTACTGATATTAATAATTATATTTATAATAACATTACTGATAAGAACAATACTAACAATAATAATAAGAATTATAGTGATAAGTAGAATGATAATAACACAAATAATAATAATAATAATAAGAATCATAATAATTTGTTTTGTTTAACCAGGATAGTCTTATCAGATAAAGGCACGGTAATGCAAAATCATATATTTTTTCATGGTAATTTTTATTGGCCACTAAGCATGTTAGAAAGTAAGACAAATTAGCAATTTTCTAATTTAACAAATCAAATAAAAATGTATAAAGTAAAATGGAACAATGTGTCAACTACTTCTTTCAACCTCACCATCAATGTTTGCAAAAATAAGTAACAGACTTATGTTTTACAAATAGGTATTGACTGAATAAAATATTGAATTAAAATTAAAATAAATGTTATCAATTTTAGTTTTGGTAAGATTTCCTCTTTTGTACATATTTATCATTAGAAAAGTTTAGAATTGCTTTGATGTACTATTTACATTAAAAATGTCTTAAAATCCGTCCTGAATATTCTGCGTGGAAATATTCTTAAATTTACAAAGCGAGATTAGCATTTTTCAGGAAAACTTACATTTGCTGATTTATTTGGACAAGTTATATCTGTCAAACAGATAGAAAATAAAGATATATGTCAAGCGGACAAAACACTTGATACGCGACATATCAATTAAAATTCTCATTGCGTATTCACACCTCTTTATCGAAAGTTGAAATTCAGAATAAAGACATTAAAAATGATAAATAGTACCTTGAAGTTTTCAACTTTTCCGTAAATTTGTGCCCTTATCAAATGCAATATATATAATGAGTTGAAAGTATATGATGAATTAACTTTTGGATTGTTAGAGAATAGGATAAAGCAATGTGACATTGTTCTTATGTGAGTTTCAACAAATCTGATAGAACACTGTTTGATATTCTAATTACATTGACATTTGAATGACACAAATGACCTGGGTATCAGGCTTCTATAGCTTGCTTCCATGATGTGTTTTCTCTAATCGAAATGTAGTGTATGTGTCAATCAGTTAATGATTGCCAGTACGTTGATGTAGACCTGAAAGGTATGTAAACTACTCACGAGCAGACACATTCTGTCACAGGGACATTGTATTACTTATTCGCTTTTCACTTTATCAATCAATACACATGCATGTAGAACACTTATGAATGAATGGTATTCATTACCACATAATAAACTGTTTGAAAGGTTGGACTGGAAATGTATTTTGTATACTTGGAATGGTGAGGAAGCTCCATACATAATTGAATGATGATTGAATGAGGAACATGGTTAGATATACACAATTATTGTGATTGTCTACTCATATTGCCTTAACAAACTTATTTTTTTTTTTTTGGGGGGGGGGGGGGTGAGGTGAGATGTAGCACACCTTATGTGCTGAGCGCTATGGTAATTGAAACTGTTATTAAAGCACTTTACATCTGTAGTGGTTATAAATACATAAAGAAAGACATTGACAATATGAAACAAGCAGATTTTCCATTTTGTTTTCTCCATTCAACGTTAGTAAGAATAATTGTACTATTAAACTATATACAAATAAGAGCAATTATTTGTCCAAGTATGCGAGGTTAAGGGAACACTTACTGGTAGTTAATTGAGTTAATTGGTTTCTCTAGGAAGTGAAATATTAATTGTGCCTACAAACTGACTTACTATACCATATACTAGAAAGTTTTTGTTTAGTCTCATATTGTATAGTTACGGATTCTATTTGGATGCACGTTAAGAAAATGGCACAACGTTTAGTGTTAACAAAAGACTCACATGACTCAGTGTAAAAATTGTTATGTATTTTTCTAACATTTTCTATGGTATGCTCTTTAACCTTGATTGTTTTGTCTTAACTTTGACTTTGTTGTTCTCTGTTAAAAAGCTGCTTAACTGTACACAAAGAATGATTTTATTGATGTTGTTGATGCAGAGCTATTTTCTTAATAATTGTATAAAAGTTTAACTGTGGGGAAGAGTGTATTTAATTTTCGGGTTGTACATTTATATAACAATATGTCATCATGCTGAAATTACTAAAGGTTTCACATTGTGTTCTTTGTAATGGATGCACATAATCTCAAATATACTATCAATTGTAACGTACTAATGTATTGTCAATTCATTCTCCTTTAATGTTCTAAATAAAGTTTGGATTGAGGTGTCATTAATCATAGTTAATGTGGACTTATTTATCTACAATAGTGAAATCAAATTGCTGATATTATCCACTAATGTGCGTGACCCTAGAGTATAATTGGTCTTAGTGATGACAGCCCAAAATACCAACAATATCGGTCTCACAGGCCTTTTGACATCTTTTATAAGGGCTCACTAATCCAACAGACCACTAGACCGACAATTTCAGTCTCGTGAACCTCCTGACAACTATTCGACTGTTCATTAGACTGACATTCCCTTTTGGTCTTATGGGCTGTCTGTCCACTGAGATGACCCCAATATGGCCAAGGAGACCGATAGGTCATGAAGCTGAAAGCCTATGAGACCAACATATTGTCAAGTTGAGATGGATGCCCATATAAATTTTGTATGACCAAATTGATGGTTCCTTGAGATGTCCGATCAGTCGCAGGATGAACGTCTTTGTCATCTTGAAGATGCAGTAAAGACGTCCGATTGAGCCGGCATGTCGTTGGCCTCATGTTCAATTATAGTCGTAAGGGAAATGTCAATAGCTCATCAAGCATGTCAAGAACAGCAAGCATCTTGATCTTACTTCAGCAAAAAGAAATGGCCGTTGCCATGGAACTTGAATGCTAAAGAAGTTGACATCAGTTTCTGTGAACCAAAAACAAGAAATGTTACAGATCAACACACAATATAAGCCATATATGAAATGATATATATATATATATATATATATATATATATATAAAACCCTACATGGTACATTAAGTGGGCATCATACAAATCCTATACCTAACCCTAACCCTAACCCTAATGTCGGACTCATTTTTTCACCACAAATGTCCCTCCAATGACGCCTTTAGTAAAATTACATATATAGAGAGAGATATATAACAAAATTGGGCCTTCTATGAGAAATAAACCGTAATAAACGTTAAGAGGACACCAAATTGTCCTCCTAATAAAAATGTCCACTTAATGACTCATTTTTCACTCCAACTGTCCCTCTAATGACGCCTTTGGTAAAATATAGATATATATATATATATATATATATATATTTATACAGATGTTATCTGCAGTCTAGTGTCCTCAGCTTTCATAACATGCTCGTATCGTCAAGTTGGTGGTGAATGTGATCACAATTGCCGATACCATGTTTGATAATCAATTACACATCAAGAAAGAAAGAACAAAATCATGAATACCACATATTTGTGATTGCACAACATAAAAACGAATGTAAGCATATACTCTAAGTATTTGAGCTTCCAGTTTGAAAGCAATGCAATTTGGCCCATTTGATAGGTTTGACAAAAAAAAATGTTAGTATTGGAAAGGTATAATAAGATATGAAAATTTGTGAAAACAGATGGTCTAACCTTTAATGTACAAACCATTTAAAGTTTTCTTTTGTTTTTCAGTATACCACACAGTTTCACTCACATTATACTGCGAAATACAAACATATTGCATCATTGGCGAATATATATATATATACATCTATATACATGTAGGCTACTCGTGCTCCTGTTTTGATTCCTTTGCAATGTACATGGGCAGTATTGCGTTCATTTTTTTGTATTTGGCACAGGCAAACAAAACACCCTATATCTTTCTCCGTGCATTTTGTACGAATGAATTAATAAGGCCACCGAATCGCACCGTACACCATCCCTGCATACACACATGATTATCATGAAACCCGAAGGAATAAAGCACCGTTTTAACGAACTGTAGCCCCATTGGTCAATTGGCCGATATTTCGTTCGTTTCAGTCAAGAAAGAGCGCCTCTGATTGGCAATCGATGGGTTGCCGACATTGTAGTCATGGCAATCAAAAGGGGGGGGGGGGCGTTTCTTCGGTGAATGCGATATATAAATTGTGCAGAATCCTATCTTTGCTCATAATCACGTATTTCAATCTGTAAGGGACTTCTCAGGACGGATTCTATTGGGATTATATTCATTATCTGAGTCAAATAGAGGTAAGTGCAATTTCAGTATTATTACCATTACCATTTGTATTGGTTTCTCATTTACAAGTGTAAGTAGTTGTCATGTAATAATTATATTACCGGTTTGACAGTTCTCTTCGAAGTTTTTGCAAACTGAAGAAAAAACAATCAATCTTGGCAAATTTAGGAGTTGTGATCAGTGAATACAGGCTCTGTGTCTCTCCAGTTTTGATGATACTTAAAATCAATAACAGTGTTCGTTATCCATATTTTTGTTATTGAATCGTGAAGCCTATTTCCAATTTGCAATTATTTCTCCATCACACAATTCCGATTCAGAACCTATTTTCTTAAGTGAACGTACGTTGGCAATCACTTTTGTTATTATCATTCCTCTGAATCCTACAGGATATCTAAGTTGAATCACAAAAGTATTTCATTATATATATGTTTCAAGATGTTGACGTTTTAAACAGAAATAAGTTCCCCGATTCATCTCGAAATTGTAACATTTCTTATATCTGTAGAGTTAAAGCTGCTCGAAAAGACACTCGATCTTGGCAAATTTAGGAGTTGTGATCAGTGAATACAGGCTTTGTGTCTCTTCAGTTTTGATGATACTTAAAATCAATAACAGTGTTTGATATCCATACTTTTGTTATTCAATCGTGAAGCCTATTTCCAATTTGCATTTATTTCTGTCTTTCTCCATCACACAATTCTGATTCAGCACCTATTTTCTTAAAGTGGACGTACGTTGGCAATCACTATTGTTATTATCATTCCTCTGAATCCTACAGGATATCTAAGTTGAATCACAAAAGTATTTCATTATTATATAGGTTTCAAGATGTTGACGTTTTAAACAGAAATAAGTTCCCCGATTCATCTCGAAATTGTAACATTTCTTATATCTGTAGAGTTAAAGCTGCTCGAATTAAATGTATCCATTTGGAGCGAGATTTCTTAAACACTGATTTTAAGAAAAAAATAGGTAAACAGGCTTGTTCCCATGCCGGTAGCAACTGTGATTACTTTTGTCTTTTTACTCTCTGTGCAGAGAGGAAAATCTAATAACAACTGACTGGAATATGAAAATGGACTTATTGACCGTACCGACAACAGACGGCGTTGTACGAATTTTTTTCTTATTCTTAGTTGCGTTCAGCCCTGGTCAAAATACTTGTTCTTAAATCTAATCATTCAATTATCAAAATAATTTCATTTTTCAAAAAATACTTTGGTTAAGTAAATAATTTTAGGCGCTTTGGTAGGTACGTGGCCTTTCTAAGAGTTCACGTCATGCTTCCGTCGTAATTCTTCCAATAATTCAGGTGCATAGGTATACATAAGACTTTGCAATCTACTCCATTATCATATTCAGTCAATACATCTGTTACGAAAATACTGAGAAATCAATACCTTTGGACAACGTGGCGATCAATATGCTCATAATTTTAATGAACATAAAGGGCCTTTACTTCAATATGAAGAAAATTCATCTCACAGTCAGGCATATATTATAGGCATCATTTCCCCTTTAATATTAACGTTAGTTTCTTACTTTGCACATTATTTATATTACATGATTGCTTGTTAGTTGTAAATATATTTTGTTCATATTTTCCTTCTTTTAATCTTTTGGCTTGGACCCCTTGGAAAAAAGTTTATAGGTGAGTGGTTAGTGGTGAGTGGGAAATTGATAAATTCAAATCAAATCAAATTAAATCAAATCAAGTCCTAGTTTACGTTTTCCAAAATCTCGGTAAAATATTAGTGTAACATTTTTGTGTGTGCTTTCTATTTCCCTGAGACAATTGTACTGTATTGTAACGTATTTATCTGTTCGAAGTTGTCATAGACTTACAGCGTAACAACCAAAGTATATTCCACCTTTATGACAAACACTGTTTGTCATAAAGGTGGAATAATTATTTTTACCCCAATTTATGGAATGATTTTGACAATGATTTATTCCTAATAGATTTAAATAATAGTATACATTCTCAAATTTTATTGAATAATAACTTGCGAGTGTTTTTTTTGCGTGACTGCTAAAGCATGTGTGTGCTACTTTGCTAATCAACGGGGGGGGGGGGGGGACCTACATCCTTAAGTTACAACTGACAGTAATATGAGGCATTAATCCTCATTACTGTCAGTTATGACTTAAGGACGATGGTCCCCTAGTTGATTAGCATAGTAGCATACACATGCTTTAGCAGTCACGCAAAACAAACACTCACAAATTATTATTCAATAAAATCTGAGAATATATACTATTATCTAAATCTATTAGGAATAAATCATTGTCAAAATCATGCCATAAATTGGGGTAAAAATAATTATTCCACAATTATGACCAACAGTGTACTTCTATAAAATTCGTACTTGCAATCAAACGACAACCACTGAATCATTAATCAATATTTTGACGAGAATTTACATCGAAGTTTCTAAGTAATTCTTTAGAAATAGAAACATTGGAGCACAGAATTATATACAAGAACAAAACAAACGAGAGAGGGAGATGTTTCTGTATTGACATGTTTAAGGTGTATCTATTCTATTTCAGGGTTTCAAGCAATTAACAAGAATGGGGGATTACAAGACAATTGGCTTGATCCTAATGTTAATCATTATAGGTAAGTAATTATTTGCCATCTCATTATTTGGGGGAACGTTTAAAAACAACTATTTGCCCTATTTTGTTAGTTTTCGTTTAGATATCTTTAAATGTCTTTATGTAATTGTTACTGGCAAGGCTTCGTTTCTACGACCGGAAAAGGCAAGGCTAGCTGGTGCAATGAGCCACTTTGTGAATTGTCAATCTTGTACTGTTGTATTAACAACACGACTAAAATATTGAGACACGGATATAAAATACGAATTTCCACATGACTCTTAATCTGTCTCCACGAAACTGTTTACCTATAAGGTCGTGTTGCAATTCGAATTAAAATGTGTCAAAAATATTTACGTCGTGTTGTGACGTGACATATTTATTGAATTAAATCGAAGTGAATTGACAAGATGTATCGATAAAAATTCAAAGTTATAGCTAAAAAGT